CCTTCGTTGCTTTCGATGCCATCTGGGCTCCCAGAGGCAGCACAGAGCTGCTTTAGGCCTGGGATGGTGGCTCACTGTGTGGCCCACTGGCATGGATCTGCTTGCAGCAAGCCAGTAGTAGTGTCCATGCATGGCAAGGCACAGCGTGAGCTTTTGGATAGTGGCAGGGGTTCAATGTAGTCAACCTGCCAGCAAGTCAGTGGGATGTCCCACCATCGCAGGCCACCCGTATCTTGGGGCAACCAGCAAGGGTGCTTCTCTGCACAGACAGTGCATTGCTGACAGGCCATGACTGCATCAGCGTAACAAAGAGGTAGGCCTCAAGCTCTTACCACTTCCTGTAAAGTCTTCTGTCCTGCATGGCACACTTTCGGTGGAGCCACTCAACCATGTCTTCTGCTGGAGCCTCTTCCAACCAGCGGATGTGTGCCAGGTCATCAGCCTCAGCATTGCCAGGGCTGAGGAGAGGTTGGTGTCCATTAACGTGGTAAAGAGTTATACCTTTTCCAGACTACTTTCATATATGTCCTTCCATAAGTCCTGCTCCCACAGGGGTTTTTGAGCCATTTGCCAATAATCTTGCTGCCAATGGGGCAGCCACAGGGTCAGTCCCCTGTACACTGCCCAGCTGTCTGTGCAGATGGTCACCAGACCAGGTTCTCAGGCTATGACTATCCACACAGCTCTCAACTCAGCCCATTGATGACTTTGTCCTGAGCCATCTTCCATCCACATGCTGTCTGTGCTGGGCTGATAGGCCTCCGCCCTACAGGGGATGGCTGGCCAGGGCAGGAGTCACCAGTGTACTGGGCATCATCAGGCACAGGGGATCATCCCTCTGTAATAGTAGGCCCAGGCATGGGGAGAAGAGCAGGGAACTCTGTGCCCTTGTCTTGGTAAGAAGCTGGGCCAAGGAGCTGCTGTAATTCTAGGCTCAGAGGGCTCACAGCTAGTTTGCTTCTCTGTTGGAGACATGCACTCCACTTAGTCAGAGTGGCCATCTATGCTACTGAGCTCTTGGGTCAGTTTACCATGTCCTGCACCCACCCAGCGATGGAATAGGTGGTATGTACTTGAATCTCAGTTGGTCCAGTAATATCTTCAGTAGCCCAGAGAGCCTGGTAAACAGCATTCACTTGTTGTTCTGTTGGGCTGTATCAAGCCTCTGCCCCTTCCAGAGCTAGGACCAGAAGCAACTTGGCACCTTGGTGCACCCTTTCCTGGCCAGAGGCCTGAGGCATAGCTCTCAGGGGAGATGTGGACATCTAAATCACATGCCTGAGATTGATCTATGATCCCCAGTGCCTATGCAGGCTTCACCATTTTCTTAGCCTTTAAGGCCTGGTCATGCTCTTGCCCCCAATCCCAGGTGGCTCTTTTGTGGGTGAGGTGATAAAGAGGATGCACTGGCTGAGCTAAGTGTGGTGTGAAAACCCTCCAGTACCCTCAACAACCCTAAAAATTCTTGTAATTGCTTCAGCTTCTGTGGGATGGGGAGAACCTGAATCTTATCTATCATGGCGGCAGGCATCACCTTTGTCTTACCTGACCAAACAGCACCTAAAAATCTGACAGACAATCCAGGTCCCTGGATTTTATTGGAACTGACTGCCCATCCTCGACCCTGAGCTGAGCCAACAGCTGAAGAACAGCACACGCTAACTCTGTAAGAGAATCAGAAGTCAGCATGATATCATCAATGTAATGGTGCACTCTCACAGAGGATGGTACAATCTATGCAGCTATGTCTTCAGCCCTAAGGCTGTGGCAAACAGTAGGGCTATGCAGGTGACTCTGAGGCAGAACAGTAAATGTCCACTGGCTTGCCTTCCCAGGTGAAGGCGAACTGGCCCTGGCTTTTAGGATCAACATCAATGGAGAAAAAGGTATCAGCCAAATCTAATGCATAATGGTGTGTGCCCAGATCATGGCTGAGCTGGTCTAGGAGGCTAGCTTTGTTAGGCACAACTGAAGAGAGAGGGGGAATCACCTTGTTTAGTTCTCTATAATCTACAGTCATGCAACAAGTTCTATCCTGCTTTCGCACAGGCCACACAAATGAGTTGTAGGGGGCTGGTCTCATGATGTTCACTTTAGCCTATTCTTTCATGGTCTCCTCAATCTCCTTATGGCCACTGAGAAGGCAGTATTGTTTGGTGGCCACTATTCTATGGGGAGTGGGAAGGGACACAGGGGTGTCTGGCATGTCCCCTCAAAATAGCCTTCACAACTGGTATTCAGAGGCAAAACTCCCACATGGTTACCTGTAGGTGCACACCAGCTAGAATGTCAATCCCTAGGATATACTCAGAGATAGGGGAGACATCCACCTTATAGGAGCATGCTGGTAAATGCCCTATTCCAAGAGTCACTGTCAAAGCCCACACCCAGATGGACTGTCCCCCGTAGCCATCAGTGGCAGTTATGGTCCCTATAAATCTCTCTGGGTTTCCATAAATAAGAGAACATTCTGCACTGGTATCAACTGAAGCCAGCACTCTTTGTACATTCTTTGGGGACCAATAAATAGCAAGTTCTACATATGGCCTCCAGTCCCTACTGAGTGCCCATACGTGTTTCCCTCAGCCACCCCCTATGTAAAGACCCCTCCCCATGGATTGTCCTTCAGGTCCATTCCAATATTCGGACAGTAGATGTTGTTACAGGCTGGATCTGTTGCTCAGGTTTCAGTTGCTGCCACATACTTACAAGAATGTGGTTAGGCTTCTTGTCTCTTATCTTCATCTACCCCAGCCTTTATGAGATCATTCCATAGTTGTTTCTGGGTTACTTTCACTGTACCTTTCTGCTTGCTTTTCACGTTCAGATTCTCTCCTTTTTTCCTTCCTTCTCCTTCTTTTCTACCTGTCTTATTCCTTTCTTTTGCCTCAGTAGCTCTACTTGTCCTACGTGGGCAACTATCTGTGCCACTTCTTGTATAAAATCACCCACCTTGGTGAACAAAGTAGGTATCAGGGTGCCAAAATAAGCCAGGGGTGCTGTTTGAACAGCCTGGTCCCTCATTCCTTTGGTAAATCGTTCCATATCTGGCCCATTGAACTGTGGGTTATAGATGGCATGCTGCATGTCTAACTCCAGAATGAACTGCTAGAGTTCTAGTTAACTGGTCCAGTGTGGGTTAGAGGAGGGTAGATCCCCCTCATTAGGCCACACCACCCTATAGCCAGCCATTAGCCACATAAGGAAGGTAGTTGTGTGACCGGTTTGGGCTCCAGCCCAGGGAATTCTTTGTCTCAAAGAAAGATGGGTGGTGACAGAAGACCTATGTTTTAATTCATCCTTCATAAGCAAAATGCCATGAAGCCCTCTATATCCCACAGCCGCAACAGCCACCCCCTGATGGATTCAGACCCTTTCTGTCTGAACTTAGCAGCCAGCTCTTCTAGCTCGGCAGGGATGTAGGGCACACTGTAGTGTGTGGAGTGTGCTTTGGAGGTGGCATTGGAGCACCCTGCGGTGCCCATGGCTATTGGGTCTTCATCTTCTGAGCTATAATTGGACAAGCCTTGAGTTTTCCTTCTTCTACCTCTATGGCCCCTGCCCTCATCTATTCTGATCTCTTCACCTGAGTCACTTTCTGCTGTAGGATCTCACTTGTAAGGATTCCAGTCAGATTGTGCCATGATAGCCTGTACAGGGGTGGGTGCTGGTCACCGTCCCTGTGTCCTGGCAAAGCAACATTCTAGGTCCCATGATTGCTCACTGGTCTGTTCTAATTGTCTCTGTAGGGCGTCCTTATTGTATACCATTAGGAGATGCATGTTCCCGTCTAGTTTCAGTTCCTCTTCTAAATGCACAGCATGTACCTCTGCCTCTATCTGTCTCTCAGTTACCATTTGTAGTGCTGCTGCCATTAACCACCCCACAGCAATGGCAACATGGTGGAGGTCTCTTTTTTTCTTTAGGGTGCACTGCTCTCTGACATACTGCAAGACTTGTAGGAGGCCACCAGGAGTTTCAAGGGCATCCCCAATCCCATAGTGGTCCCATGTATCAGGAAGGTTTGCTACCTCATACCACATAGAATTTGCTAGCCAGCCCAGGATTACTCTCAGCATCCCCCCACTTGGCATAACGTTGCCCACAATGGACTCAACTTGGGAAGTGTTGGGGGTATCTGAATCCTGCTGACTATGCCAATTGTAATGCAGGAGATTGAGTCCAGGAATCTCCATTGCTGGTTTGGATAAGCCAAAAAAAAAAAAAAAAAAAAAAGGAGGACCGGATGGAGCAGACATAGTCTTTATTACCCACATTACAGGGAGCACCAGCGGTGGCAGCACAGTGGCAAAGCAGGACCATTTTTCCCTGAGTCTGAGACTTGTTTTAAAGGGTCCCAGACAAAGGGGGCATGTGTCTTGCACATGACTCTAAACTACAGTACCTCAGTGTGTACGTGCAAAGAGAGAAGATCAAAAGGGGGTTACACAGTACAAGAAGACACTCCCAGAAAGAGATAAGGAGGGAATTAGAATCCATTTTCAAAGCAAAACACATTCTTTCTGGCTGGGGGCCCTCCGGCCAGCCTTCCCTTATTAGGTATTGGAGAGGCCATGTCCAGCACGACCCCATTCACCCCTCCCTGTGAAAACAGAATGCAAGGTCGGTGAAGCCTTTCTTAACTTCATGTTAACCACTGGCAACATATGCAACCTCTCTGTTTCTATGGGATGAATAAGATGTAGAGGAATCCAAACGGGGGTGCAAGAGAGTATTGGGAGAAATGGAATGCAGCACATAGACTGGAGTGGTGGGAATAACTCACTGTTTGTACTTGGAATTTGTGCACTTGAAGTGACATTGCAAAGAGGGTAGGGGAAGGGGAAGAAATCAGCAAATCGGGCAGGAGAGAGGAAAGGGGAGGAAGCAGCAACAAAGCAGCTCCTGTGGGCTCTCCTGATTGATCAGAAAAGTAAATGCATCTTCCCACACACCCACACACCATACGTCATGTACATTTTCTGAAAGAATCAGGGAGGATGAGCAGACTAAATATCAATCACCAGCTTCACGAGGCCTTTTCACTGTGTAACTCAGAATGCCTAGGTAAGAACCTGCCATTAGATTGGCAGTCCTGAAGCAGGAGAGCAAAGTATGAAACATTGAACTCCTGAGAGTAAGCCAATGCCCTTACATCCTCATGAGCATGTCCATGTGGTTGCCTTTTTTCTGGAAAGTTCTTTATCTTCATCTCTGCCTGTGAAAATCTTGCCCAGTCTCAAGACCTTAGCCCAAGTTCTGAGGGAAACATGACAAGGTACCAGAGCTCCTAAAACCTAGAGCAGGGATAGAACCTAAGAACAGCAAGGAAGATGACCCTCAAACTCTCCCTCTCCACCTCTTTAGAGTTTTGAGTTACAAGGTAAGCCACCACCTCCAAGGAACTACTCCTCTTCAACATAGCCTGACAGGTTCTCAATGTTGTGCCTGGTCAAAGGGGTCCCAGATACCACCCAGGCCAGAAAGTGGAGTCTGGGGATCTGCATTTAGGAGCACCCGTAAAGGCACTGCAGTAAGGAAGTTCAGAGACTTCAATCTAAGGCGGAAAATATGTATTTAGTTGAAACTGGCTTATGATACCAGCAGAAGGCTGAGAAAGGGGGTTCTGCTGAAGGTTCTAAATTGGAGGATCTCCCTGCAGCTGCTAACCCCCACTGTTCACTGTCTTCAAGGTCTAATCTTAGCCAAGTGTCTCCCAGGATTGCACCAAGTGCACATTTATTTTTTCTTACAAGTGCCCAGGTTCCTTCTACTCTTCTGCTTAACTATATTTTAGGTTTCAATTTTTATTTAAGTGGGGATTAAATAGCCTTAAGAAGGCTGGTTGGTTGCTATCCTGAGAATAAAGAAATATACCATCTCTTAGTGGTGGTCCAGGACAGGCTCACAAGGCAACCTTGGGTCCATGGCTCAAAGGCTCTTAGTACACACACCCCCATCCCCGCCAGCAAATTCCACTCCCCGCTCCACCCCCACCCCCCACCCCCGCCGCCAGCCTTTGCTCCTGGTTTGTGCTCCATTCTTTGCTCCCGCCCTCCGCTCCCTGTGCTCCCTCCCACTTGAACCCCGTGTCGCCTCATCCCACACTTACACTGCGCTCCTGCCTTGCTGCTGGACGCACTTCCCGCGCTCCGCTCCTTGGGATCTGCGTTCCTCCAGCGCCCGCAGTTCTCGCCTCTTTCGCCGCAGCCTCCGCTCTCTCGATCGCCCCCTACTCTTGGCCGTTGAGAGCCCTCGCTCCCGGCTGGCTAAGGGGAACCACCATCCCCGCCGCCGCCGCCACAGCCAACACCGGTGCCACACACAGCTGCAGCCACCGCCGCCGAGCCGTCATCGCCGGCACTCGCCCGCCACCCACCGTGGCCATGCCGCTAACAGGTAGCAGGAAGCGGAAAGCGCCCGCCATCGAGGGGGCCGACGCGAGCTCATTGTCCGAGGGTCCGCTACAGCCTAAGAGGCAGAAGCGGCTGGTGACCCGGCGCTCGCTGGTATACTACCTGAAGGGCCGCGAGTGGGGCGCGCAGAGCCGCGAGGGGCTCCAGGGCTTCGAGGGGGAGCTGTGCGGCTACGCGGTGCAGAGGCTGCCGGAGCTGCTTCAAGAGCGCGAGCTGGCCCTGGGCACCCTCAACAAAGTGTTCGCGTCGCAATGGCTGAACGCCAGGCATGTGGTGTGCGGCACCAAGTGCAACACGCTCTTCGTGGTGGACGTGCTGTCGGGCCAGATCACGCGCATCCCGCTCATGCGGGACCGGGTACCCGAGTTGGCCCGGGCCCAGCCGAGCTGCGGCATCCACGCCATCGAGCTGAATCCCTCCAAGACGTTGCTGGCCACCGGGGGCGAGAACCCCAACAGCCTGGCTGTCTACCAGCTGCCCACCCTGGACCCCGTGTGCCTGGGCGACCGCAACGGCCACAGAGACTGGATCTTCGCCATCGCCTGGATGAGTGACACAGTGGCTGTGAGTGGGTCCCGCGACGGCACGTTGGCTCTGTGGAGAATGGATCCCGACATGTTCAAGGGCAGCATCGCTTGGCACAATGATGCGGGGCTCCCGGTGTACGCCCACATCAGTCCGGTGCACGTGGATACTCTGCCCAGGTCCAGCACCAACAGCAGTAACATAAAGGTACGAGCCCTGGCCTTCAGTGGCAAGAACCAGGAGCTGGGAGCAGTGTCCCTGGATGGCTACTTTCACCTGTGGAAAGCCCAGAGCACCCTGTCCAGGCTGCTGTCTATTAGGCTGCCCTACTGCAGAGAGAATGTGTGCCTGACCTACTGTGACGAGTTGTCCCTGTACGCAGCGGGCTCCCAGTCCCATGTCTCTTTCCTGGATCTGCGCCACGGTCAACAGAACATTCGGCCACTGTGCTCCCGAGAGGGCGGCACTGGTGTGCGCTCACTGAGCTTCTATCAGCACATCATCACAGTGGGTACTGGCCAAGGCTCTCTGCTCTTCTATGACATCCGCGCTCAGAAGTTCCTGGAGGAGAGGGCCTCTGCAGGCCAGGATTCCTTCCTGGAACCCACAGGGAGGAAGCTCAAGCTCACCTGTGGCAGAGGCTGGCTGAACCACGACGACCTGTGGGTGAACCACTTCGGTGGCGTGGATGAGTTCCCCAACGCAGTCTACACCCACTGCTACAACTGGCCGGAGATGAAGCTATTTGTGGCTGGGGGGCCTCTCCCTTCAGGCCTCCACGGGAACTATGCAGGCCTCTGGAGCTAAGGATGGCCACTGTGATCTCCAAGTGCCCAGATTTTCCTTCTTCTCCCCTCTCATTTTCCCTCTTCACACTGTGTTTGTGCATATAACTCAGTGTGGCTTTTATCCTCCTAGTGGAATTGTCCAACTTAGTTCTGCTTTGTGTATTAAACAGAGAGGGGTGCGGGAGAGGAGGAGAGTGTTGTCCTTCAGACAATCAAAACACTTAGCTTTAATACTTTTCTACACCTCTTCAACACCATCTTTTTGAATTCTCATACCAAGATTTTTGACTAATTCTTAGCTGTGTCTTTTCTTTGAATCATTTATATATTCTCTCTAATGCCATAAAGTCATGGTTTTACAATTATGTATATTTTTCTTTGTTATTGCTATTACAGTAATATTGTTTTTAGTTATTTTTCATTGAAGATAGATGTTATATTAAGAACATTTTTAAACTGAGTTTGTACATCCGTTCTGGAAGGCTAGCCATAGTTTTATGGCATTGTTCCAATTGGAAACTACATTCCAAGTTCTAGATTATCAACTTTTAGAAACATTCCATTGGCAAATGGTAGCCATAGTGTTTATAGTTTGTAAGTTGTTGGTGCTAAATGTGCTTTTTAAAAAAGTTTATTCTCTTAAAAAAAGTTATTATAGAGTCTTAGTTTTTGTACCAAAATCTCAATTGGTCAGAACACTTTAGGAATGCAAGATTTCTGCTGATTCAATGTTCAGATTAAGTGCAAACTTAATGTCTTTTTTTCCTCTTCAACCCTTACTTAAGTTTCTATGACCTGCTGTTAAATAAATAAATGATGGTGTATTTTTTCACTTCTTGCCTTAGTACCATCAAGATGTGTGGATATATTTGAATATTTGTTGCTTAAGGAACTTGCACAGAGCTTCAGTGCCACCTTTCAAAGCAGGGATTGTAAATGTAAAAATGTAGCATGTATGGCAAGCTGGGAGGAATGTATACTGATCCAGGATAAAAACTGGATAATTTCACTATTGCTGTTTTTAATACCAAATATTATATTAGAGCATATTTAAAATTTTCCCATTCTGCTTAACAGTTAAATCACAGGAAAAAAAAAACTCAAAGAAGAAAAATGACCCCAGTCCCTACTCCTTTTGAAAGATTCTTAATTTGTAAAGTCTAAATTACTATTATTTTATGAATTTCAAATATTCTTACCTAAAGTGAATAAATATATTGTGAAAAAGTAGTGAGATTATAACCCCCATGTAATAATAAACAATTATCAAGGACACAAAAAGTTTGTTTCAAGAAGATGGGCTAGAGCTAAAAGTAAATAAGATTAGGTTGAAGAAAAGTACTTTGGGGCTCAAATGCAAATGTTGGGTTGTTAAGAAAACAGGTTGTACTTCTGCCTGAGTGAGAATATTAGAAGTGGGAAGGGAGATTGGCCCTTCCTCAAAACTGGCCAGATTGTTCTCACCTTGGATTAGTGTTGTGTTATATCTGTTTTTCCTTAAATGTTTGGCACTCAGATGCTGCCTTGATGTTCAGGTACTACATGCTGTTCAGTTGCAAATCTGAACCAAGTAATATAATGAGCTGTACTAAAAGTGAGTTAAAAATACAGAGGGATTGGGGGTAAATTGCAGAAAACTGTACTTGAAAAACAATTTTAAAAATAAATAAATAAAATAACTAAAAAAATACAGAGGGTTTGGGGGGGAAAGGCAGAAAACTGTACATGAAAAACAATAAAAACAATAAAAAACTAAAATAACTAAAAAAAAGATACAGAGGAATTGGGCATAAAAGGCAGAAAACCATACATGAAAAACAACAAAAAGTATAAAAAAATAAATAAAATGAAATAAAATAAAATTTAAATCAAATATTAAAAAAGTAATAGAGAAAAAAAGCTTTTTTTTAGAGACATTGTTTTAACAGGTTTATATAGTTGTTTTATTCACAGTAAAATGTATTTGTGTGCATGTATGTGTCTCCAACTCAGATGTAAATGTCTTGAAAGCAGAGACTATAACTGTCATCTTTATATTCTCTCATTTCTCCATTAATGCCTAGCAAATTATTGTCAGTCAGTAAATATTTACTGAATGAATGTATTTGCCTCTGGAGACATAAAGTTCAAGGCTCTAAAAACTAAGTGCATAAATACATAAATAAATGAATAAATAATAAAAATTTACTCTTAAATAGTGTGGAATCCTGTTGTGTTTTCCCTTCTTTATTTTTTTCTTAAAATTTTCCTTAATTCATTACCAGGTCAGGCCACGGTTCTTATCTTTTTATAAACTTCCCTACTTATGATACCAGAAGATAAAGGAAAATGTATAAATTATAATGGCTCTGAAATTAAATATTTTCACGTGGAAATAGTTACATTTGAAGATTCCTTTTAAATATTTTATTTGTTTCATAAATTAGTTTTAAAAGTTTGTTTGTGTAGGCAGTTCATCTTTCTACTTTATAATGCATATTTTCTAAAAACTTTTTTCACCCAAGAATATTTCAATGAAGGGGTATTCATTGCCTGTCTTCTAGGTTATAGGACATTTTTATGGTGTTTTGTAATTGTTTGGGGAATCAGGAGAACAATTTCAAAGGAAATGACACTTTCTACATGATGTGGCATTTTAAAGATGAAATACAACGAATATTTCTAATTTGTTCTCTGGCTCGGCATTTCATCACAGACTTACTCTTAACTTTCTCATTATTTAGGGTACAACTTTTTGATACAAAATCACATGGCTTGCCTTTAAAAACAACTAAATAGTATAAGTAGGTATGTATTTGTATTATGTAGAATTTTAAGTATTTTGAAATATTTTCTGGTTTAAAGATAAAGTGATCCACAGAAGTACAATGAATTGTATAACCTATGAGTGTGAAATAATTGAAAAAGTAACTATGCCAGTACTCTAGGAAACCCATAAATATAGTTCACTTAAAATACACAAGGGAACACATATCTTTAGATACAAATTATATATCACTGTTGTCTGAAAAACCTTAGTTATTTACAACTACACATAAAAATGTTAGTTTCATTTATCTATCTTTACTACATATGCACATATTCCTCCCCAAGTATGTTGTTGACTCAAAAGTTTATGTTATTCTTTTCTCTTTGGATCAATTTCAATTTTTTTTAAATGGGGAAGAAAGAATTTACTAATTAAGGATGTTCACTGAAATAAATTGAGATGACTCCTTTGGAAGAATTTCATCTGTTAAATCTACCCTAGCATTAATGATAAACAAAATAGAATTCTCCAAATGTTGGTTTTTATCTGGCTGTACTCAGTGTTGAACAAGTTGTCAAAATTTTTCCATTAGTTTCTAATTTAGAGTGATTTTTAAAAAACAATTCATATAGTCTTCCCAGATGTTTTACTCACAGCTTCCTAATCTCTGCAGCTTTAGGTAACCCAGCTACATTTAAAAAGTCACTGTGTGAGCTGTTTCAGGATGCAAATCTGAGAACAGCATGTATTACTGTGAAAGAAAAGCTATATACGCCACAGGTGTTTGTTTTAAGGAATGTCATTTTAAGATATGCTCAAAGGGCTGCCTAAAAGTATTTACCACTTCTGGCCTGATGTAAAACCCAGGGACACCTCCAATGGAGTGTGCCATCAGTGAAAACAACAGAGTAGTTAAAGCAGTTTGCCATGAAAGTCAAGAAGGAAGGCTCTTTAACTGTTATGCGTTTTTTTGCATAGACAATGGTCTTTACATTCCTTCTCACCACCATTTTTTTTCTTTTAAATTTGCAGCGACATTTCAGAAAGAATAAGCACTTAATTTCTTCATGCTTCCACAGTGAATGTTTTATTATCTTTATTAAAGCATTTACCAGATTGTAATGCAGTTAACTATGTAAGTATCTAATCCCCTACCCACTGGAATGTGAACTGTCATCCCAACACCTAGCACAAGAGCCTGCACACGAATGTCACTGGGAAGTCAAGTGCAATGACTAATATGTTAACTCCGTGGAATTGATTATTTTATCCAATTAGTTGGCCAGAACATTAGGCAATGTAATAAGGATTAGGTTGCTGGATGAAGAATATCCTGAAAGAGGCCCCATGGTAGTAATCCTGGCAATTCACAGCATGGAATAATATGGGTAGGGCAGCAGAAACTTTGATTACTTAAGTTTTATAGACAGCTGATACTGAATATGGGACACCAGGATGAAATGTAATGAATATTAACTTAGAATAAGAAAAACCTGGGTCTGAATTTTAGCTCTATAACTTGCTTAATAAATAACAATTGATGTGTTCCTTCACTTCTCTAATCCTGACCTTTGTTATAAAATCATTCTGTCTCCAGCATTTAGCACACTGCCTGGTACATACAGGCATTCCTTGATATTAGTTCTCTTCATCTACATCCCTATCAATTAGTTCTCTTCATCTATATCCCTATCAAGATTTTATATATATATATTATATATATATTATATATATATTAGAATATCTTTGTTGCATTTTATTGCAATGACTGTACTGTTGTCCATGTCTATGATTATTACTGTTTTACAAGATAAATTTTATCTGCATTATGGAAACTTGGACATACAGAAAAGTAAAATATAACAAAACAGCTTCATTTCTGCCAGTCAGACATTACTAATAATAACAATTCAGTGTATACCTTTTTAATTTTTTTTCTTCACATATGAGTTCTGTCCAGAAAACATCCAGGCACTGTTAATATAATGAGGGTGATTTGCGTTACATCCCTGTAACCTGGCAGCCAAGAAGAGTAAACTGGAATTCATGTGCATGAACAATGACAACTTCACCATGGTAGTCTGTGGGGGCAGGAGACACCATTGAGTGAGAATCTGTACTGTGTGGCTATCACATTCAAAATGACTGAGTGAGTAGAGCAATGAATCTGCACCAAATTTAGTGTGAATCCTGAACATTTCTCCATGGAAACTATTCTGATGATTCAGAAGGCCACAGCTATGGGCAACTGGTGATTGGCAGCTTCATCA